AGTGACCTGGCCCTGGTACTTGGTGGAAAGAAACTGAAGACATTGGACATTACCGCCCAGCTCAGATGTCATGTGGATTAATGAGATAAACACGTCTGCAGCTTGGAATTCTTAACATGATTAAAAAGAAAATAAGGAGCCCATTATCATTCCTGGGCTTCTGACAGATTCTTTAACCTTGGCTGCCCCAAATCCTGCTGCTGACCTACCTCTGCTGTAACCACACTAGGCACAGAACAGAAGAGGGCAGTCTTCAGATTTTAGCATTTATAGGCTCCTCTGAAAATGTGCTAAATGTGGATCCCATCGATCTATCCCCAGAGCTTCTAATTCAATAAGGCTAAGATGAGACCTGTGTGTTAAGGAAGCTGGCCTTGCTCCCATGCACAGCATGAGGAGCAGAGGTGTCTTGGCCATGAGTTTTGGCGGAAACCCCGCTTCCTTTGGCCCCTCATCCCTAAGGCCAAGTGAGCAGAGGGAGAAGGGAGAGAGGAGGCTGAGAACCAGGTGGCTGAGAGGGACCAGCAGGGTAAGCCTAAGCCAACCTTGTCATCACTCAGGAGGAAACCCACAGGCAGGACATTGAACCCTGCCTGGGTGATTAGTGCTCCGGAAACCACGCGGACCCACTGGAGGCTTTGACTGATGCTGTGTTCTTTTCCATTTCTTCTCTAATTACATTGATCCTGTACTTTTGCTGATGTTGTGATGGTCTAATTATAGACTTCTCGGCTGCTGAGCAAACAGTCATCCTCTCTCTGTAAATCTGCCTGTTACACAAGCGCCAGCTCTGGGACACTGTCATTATGTGCAGCCAACCCCATGATGTGCCCTGGGCAGCACAGCCCCACACTCTTCAGCTCCTTGACACTCACTGCTGAAGCTGGAAGCACTGGAAGAGAGCCAGACGAGGTGCAGTTTGTTTGTTTTTCTAATAGATGGGGAAACTGAGGCCCGGCGTATTAAAGCAATTAATACCACATGCAGCTAGGAATAAAAGCTGAAATGTGAGTTAGTAGTGGTTATGTAAGGGCTCTCTTTTTCTTTTCTCTTTTCCTGTTTTTCTATCATATCCAGTGAGTGTCTATTCTAGGAAATTTGAAGAGGAAATGTGTTGCCCAGCCAAAAGCAGAATATGGCAGGGTGGGGCCAGCTGGGCAGCTTGCATCCTAGAAGCTTCTCAAGAATCCATTTTCCTGGCCCTCCAACCCGGAGGCTTCTGAAACTTGTCTACATTTGAGTCCCAGAGCTCAGAGCATTAACGTATACTCTCTGTCTACTCAATGCTTACAGAGAGAAGTGTGTGAGCCTGGAAGGGACAGGGACATATTCTGGTCACCCAATATCTGAAGCATTTTTCTGTTTGAAGATCCTGGCCTTATAAGGTGAAGCCCATTTTACAAGGTCACAGGTGAATACAACAGGCAATCTGCTCCCCCAGCTTTTGTGTACCAGTGCACTCTGTCTGGGCCCTGCTCATCAGATGTACCTGTCTACCCCAGAATTTGAATCAGAATCTGCTGCTGGAAAAGCAGTAACAAAGAGTCGCAAAGACTGATGATCAAATAGTGAGGGCAGCAGTGACAGGGACAGTTATATCCAATTTCTATAGACAGCAGCGGTGACATATGCTAAGGCCTGCTCCTGGTAGCAGAATCACTGTCCAGTCATCCTGCTCCATAGTATACAGCATTTTAGATAAATTCCACATTATGTAAATCGAGTCTATTTTGATTGCTTGCAACTAAAACTCAAGATGCACAGGAAGACTAGAAGATCAATGTATGAAATGAGACCTAAGGGTTATCAGTGGAGAAGCTGCTCCTGGCAGTGGGCCATTTATCCTTTTTCTCTGGCAAACTATATAGACAACATAGACTTGAGTATTGGAAGTTTCAGGCATCATGGCAGGCTGGTAACACAGATGCATGGACAAAAATATATGGCAGCTTCCAAGCCGATCCAATGTTTGGTTATGTTGCATGAAATGAACAATTAACAATTTACACTCATGAAATTTCTTTTCCCAAAAGATATCTGAAAGACTTTAAACCTTAGATAAGACATCTGGGGAACTAGAAGTGATGGCAGGCCCAGCAAGGTGTAGAGAATTTACCCTCCTCTCCTTTCTTCCAAACTTCTCGCTAAGCAGTCCTGACATTAATGTGAGAAAAGCACATAAAGTCAGCATAGCCAAGCCTAGGGTGTATAGTCCATTTTCCCCTTCTGATCTATCCATTCTCATCAAGTCCTAGGTTCCAGTAATTCTGGATTTTGCTCCCATAAAACTTAAGACTTTCTTACTCCAAACCTAGTCCTTAACCTAGTCTTTTAACCCAAGAAAATACTGGACAGAAGACAGAGAAGAAACAGGAATTTACAAGTGTGAATTCTAGGTGGTCACTGGAAAGCCAAGATACATTTTGTCATTGTCCTACCCAGAGACTCGTTAGGAAACAGATAAATCCATTGTGTTGGTTTTTATATATGTCTATAAATGCTTTGATGTTCCTTTGCTTCTTGGTTAGTATACAAGTAACACAGGTTTGCTCAGTTTGTAAAACTTACTGAGCTCTGCTCTTACGAGCTTCGATACCTAAGAAACTGATAAGGGCTGTCTAAATACTGCACAAAAGGTCTTTCTTGCCTGACTAAAAGAGTAACAGAAGAATTTCTTTGCTTTACTGGAGTAGATATAAAAGGTTCTATCCAGACATAAAATTTTTTCAGGGTCATCACCACAAGTGAGGCATTCTTGCATTTACTGTTTTACTCCTTTGATTTTTCTCTCCTAGCTTTCATAAGTATAAATCTGACTCAATGTAAAAATGGCCTTTCAGCCATTTTGATTGGATTTGCTCCAACAAAGGCTGGAATTTGGCAAGAAGGCACTGATAATCTTGGAAAGACAATTTCAATATCTGATTCCATGTCCAATGGACAGGACCTGGCAACTTCCTGAGACTCCTTCCAGTTCTAGAATGCCACAGTTTTATGAGATAGAAAGAATGCCATGTATTATAGAAAAGTAAAAATCTGAAATAAAATTCAAAGTCAAGTGATGTCCCAAGGAAAAAATATACATGTATGAATACATAATGAATTACCTAACTTTGATCGGGAAGTTGAACAAAATTTCACCTAAGCAAAGACATAACTAAAACATGCTAGATCAAATTTCAGGCTAAGAATCTTTGCTTTGTATTCTATCTTGAAGCTATCACCAGGAGAGATTGAAAAAATAGAAACAGTCCAAAGACCAGGGTAATAATCTGCATTAGTTTTACTGTAATCAGAGTTTATAAATGAATGGTTAGGTTACTTGCCCAAGGGTTTACAGATAATGAAAGTCAAAATGATCCGGACTTAGAAAAAAATGGAGATTATCTATGGTTTTAGAATAAACAGAGATTTCTTAAAAGGATATTAAAAATGCTACACATTAAACACAAGATCAATAAAGTGTGCTAATTTAAAATTAAGAATTTCTGTTCTTCAAACATAAATTTAAAATAATAAAGCAGGAAGCCACATAACAGAAGACATTTGTGATATGTATATGAAACAAAGGACTCATATCCAGAATATGTACAGCATTGGTATCATTAAGACAGAGAATTCCCACAAATGGGCCAAAGACTTGCACACACACTTCGCTAAAAGGGTCTTGAATGGCTAATAAGCATCTGAAAAGTTGTTCACCATAATAGATCATCAGAGAATTGAAAATCTAAATCATCATGAAGAAATCAGAAATCTCACATTGCTTGGGACACAAATTATCACACACCTTTGTTGTTTTCTTCTTTTAAAACTTTTTGTTTTTGAATTTTTTCTTTGATTTAAAAAAAAACTTCTTTTAAATTTTTCTTTGCTTTTGTTGTTATTGTTCTACCACTTTGGCTGTTTGGCAGTACATTTAAAGATAAATATGTATATACTCAGTGAGCCAGGGATTCCAATCCTGGTTTTAAATCCCAACATAAATGAATACTATGTCTACCAAGAGACATAATGTAAGAATGCTTCTAGTAGCTTCATTTATGAAAATCAAAAACTTGAAACAGTGCAAGTGTCCACCAATAGTTGAATGAGCACATAAAACGGTTGACTATAAAATGAATACACAGCAGTAAAAAAGAATGAACTGTGTTGCACACATGTATGAATGTCAGAGACACACTTTTGAACAAAAAGAAGATAGGAAAGCACATCTACTGCGCATTCCCTCTGTATCAGGTTTAAGCACTGCTAATCCTAATGTATGGTGATAACAGATTAGAATGGGTGCTATGTAAGACGCTGAGTGGGAATGCATTTGAATAAGCTCGAGATGTTCTGTATCTTGTGTTAGGTGTCAGATATATGCAAAGCATATGAAAATTTAACCAATAGGTACACTTTAGATCTGTGTACTTTATTGAATGTGATACCTCAAAAAACCAAAAGTAAAAATAAAGTCAGATAATATATCTTAATTTTGTGTCCAAAAGTAAGGTCACTGTACCTTTCCCTACACGCCCTCATGCTGGTACCTTTCCCATTGGAGTTCCTGGAAACTCTGCTCCCCTTTGCCAGGGACAGCATATGTGTGAGAACTTTTCATAGCTTGGTAAACACTGAGGGTACACTTATTTCAGGCAGGAATGAAAAGGGGGAAGGGAGAAATAGTGCATTCCAAAAGTAATATTTTCCCCCAGCAACTAGAGGATCAAAACAAATTCAATAAATGTTTATCTGTAATAACAATTGGCTACTATTATCTATAAATAGCACTTCACTTCATGAAAAGCACTGGAGTAATTAATACCTTTTTAAGAATTTTTAAAAATACTTATATAAGCCTACAAATTGTCCCATCCTACAGACATTATGTGGAGGTCTATGGAAGGTTAAATTACTTGTCTAAGCCCTTACCGATTACTAATGGAAATGTCAAATTAGTCTGCTTATTGGGAAGGAACCCAGTCCAGGCCCTGGCTGCATGTTACATAACTTACACGACCAAGTCCTGTGGTATCCTGAGTAGGCTAAAGCAGTAGCGGTTCCCAGGATTGGTGATAGATTCCCTGCAGCCTGCAGTCGCACTAACTGCACACAGGTGGTCCCTGTGGCCAGCGAACCAACTGCGCCTTTTCTCCAAGACTACGTCTTCACCTTCAGCCAATTTCCTTGGGTAATCAGAAAGGTTCCCAGTACCCAGAAGCCTTGCCTTTTTCCGCCTTCACAAATAAACGCCCTCTGAGTGGGCATCTCACTCTCCGCTCCTGGACCTGGGGAGAACCAGCTCGACAACCCCCGGAGAAACCCAAAACAAATGGCCTTCGAGACAGGAGGACAGAGACGGGGAAAGCAGCGATAGGGAAAAGTTATACGACAGGTATATTCTGCAGAAGAAAATGTAGAGGAAAGTAGAAAGGAAGGTGTCCAAGAGACTCCGAAGCGAAAAGGCAGCTTCGACACAGCCCTTCTCTATTGCGCCTGCGCAGTGCTACCTCCTTGGCGCCCTCCGCCCCTTCCCTGGGGGGGGGAGATTTACTCGTCTCCTGGCAACCATTCACCCGAGGAGCCAATCAGAGGGCTCCGCTCGCCCTGCGTCTCTGTCTGCGCCGGGGCAGGAGGATCCCAAGGGGCCGGGCCGGCTCCGCCCGGCTTTGGCTCCCTCGGGAGGGCCGGCCTCGGGGCGGGGGCAGGGGCGGTGGCGGCGGGTGGGGGCGTGGCCAGGCCGAATAAGAGCGGAGGGGGCGGCGGCCGCACGGCTCACTAGGTGCCGCTGCCTGGGGGCTGTAGTGACCGTGCTGCTCCTGCCGGGGGCTGCCCACGCCAAGGACCCGCCTCCGTCGCCTCTTCCACCGCGCAGGTGAGTGCACAGCCCCTTCCCCTAAAGACTCGAGGATGCAGCCCGGGGCTCGGGGAGCCCCGCGCCCGGCCCTCGGGGGTCTCTTCGCACCGGCGCTGGTCCGTCCTTCGCCGAGCGGGAGCCGGACGGGAGGTGCGCACAGGTGCCGGGACCCGGCGCCCCTTTCCTCTCCTACGCCCGTGATCATCCGCCCTCTCACATCCCGTCCCCGGATGCGCAGTCTGGCGCGGAAGGGAGCTGCAGCCTCTCCGAGTCTGCGGCCGGGGTTTGGCAAACTTCAGCGAGTTCCCTCCGCGAGTCCCGCGGGCCGCGCGCCAGCCTGACGCGGGCTGGGCGGCCGACTGGGAGAGATGGGCGCCTCCCGGAGCCGGCGGCGACCCCAGGAACCCTGCTGGCGCTCGCGGTCTCCGGTGGCCCCTGTGCCCCCGCGGCGCGCACGCCGTCGCCGGCCGGCGGGGAGTTGGAATTCGGCGGTTCCGCCACGCGCGGTGGGGCAGCTGGCGATCTGGGGCTCGCGTCAGGCGGGGGAGGGCAGGGGCGCTCCTCAGGACCTGGGTTTTCGAGAGAGGGGCGCAGACGCTTTCTGAACTGTCCTTGGACTCACGCTCGTGCCCTGTGCACACGGTGAGCTGCAGAGAGACACAAGGGAATGACTTGTGCGCCTGGCGTCTCTCGGAAACTTTCGAGAATGCGGTGTCTGCGAAACCTGGGTCTTACCCTTTGGGGATTGAAACTTGCTTACCGCGTAGGCTAAAAGCCAGGGCGAGTCAGTGGACTTGGATAGCGGGGCCGCTGGTGGCTTAAGAGGCGCGGCTGCCCCAGGAGGTGTCGCAGTTGGGAAACTTGGTTCGCGCAAACTTAGAAGCGCAAGGAGCAAGCTGGGAAGGGAGCCTCAGGACTCGGAGCCTGAAGCTCACAGATCCGCAGCCTGGACACCTAAGTACAGGACGTCGGCGGGCTGGCGAGGAAACCAGACGTCGCTCCCTGGAAGGAGGGCGGGCTCCGGGGGGGAAATGCCTGGCGAGCTTCCCTAGAGCAGACTCCTGCAGCACGGCTGTCAGCGTGGGATGGTCAGCGTGGGATGGTCAGCCTCCAGCCAGCCATCCCCCTGAGAACACTTGCTCAGGGTTTTGGCCGGTTCCCTAAGGGGAACCTGCTTCTTTTGAGTTTTTTAAAAATGGAAGTATAACATGTACAACATCTAACGAAGTACTTACACACTACAGTAAGCTTTCCTAAAAACTACGTAGTAATCATTTGTATTGTGACCACTTAGTAGTCCGGATATTTGGTAGGTGGATTAGGAGACTGAGCCAAACCGGGAAACAAGGTTAAGGTTATTGATTCCTCCTGAAGTAGATTCTTCCCTGCCAGGCAGCCCTAGGAGTGGGGCGAGAGAGTGGCCGTTGTTGGCTACACTAAGCTTTAAACGTGAGTTAAGTTGGCAGGACCGTGAGCCAGGAAGCAAGCCAGGCTGCTGAAAGGTTGGCCAGAGAGCTTACCAAGAGCTGCACTGTGCCTCCAGTCGCCAGAGGTATTATTGGGGATTGAGATCTGCCACGTTAGACCCTGCAGTTAAAGAGGGTGGAGTGGGGACTGACTTTTCCTTTCAGGGAAGCAGTCTGAGCTGGACCAAGCAGTGGTTCTGTCCTTTGACATTCTTGTTTGTGAAAATGGAAAACTTAGTATTCTTGGGGTCATGCTTAGTTTACTTCAGATAGCTGAAACTTTGTTTCTTAAGATATATTTTTTAGCTTTAGAGAACATGTATTGTCAAAGAGTTTTTAGAAAGGTGACTTTGATATAGTATTGTATATAAATGTTCAGGCAGTTGAAAGGGAGATATCACCTAATATCAAAGCTTCTTTGTAGTTTTTTTTCCTGCTTAGAAACCTCTCATTGTTACAAAACAAAAATTACTAATTTCGTAAGTGACTGTAATGTATGCACATAGAATCAACAACACTCTTTGTGCTTTCCTCCATAGTAACTATCTTATATCCAGAAATTAAATTTGTATAAATCTGAAGGAAAGGATTTTCTCTTGGCTTGTTTGTCAGAATGATTGTGACTTAGGTCCAGCATTAGGGACTTTCCCCTACCTAGTGTTTTCAGTATACTTTGAATATGACTAGCCAGGAGAGTACAACCTGACTTCCAGCTCCCTCCCCAACCTCAGTCTCCCAGCAGTACATATACTTACCCTTCATCCCTGAGTGTTCAAGGCCAGGGGTAGATATGTACATTTTGCACTGCCCCTCAGAGACAGAGAATTCCTTCTCAATGTCCAAGGAATAGCTCAACAGTACAGATAACTTAAAAGTAAACTGTAGTACCCTTGTTCTCCCAGGTCAGTTAACTAGATATACTTGATACAACATTGAAAAACTTACTGCTCCTTGTCTTGAATCTTCCTCTTTGCTATGTTTTGTTGGTGGAATTAGTCACCAAAGAAAGGCAATCTGAGAGCTGCAAATGAATCTATCAAACTATTTTTGCCATATGAGAGAAGTTGCAAAAGTCCAAGACTACCTGCTTAACTTAAACTTGTGTTGTTGGGTTTCTTGGTTTCCCTCTCTGCCATATTGAGCTGCATCTGTTACTTTGTATTCATGTTTGCAGTCTGAGGTGTTGCTTAGATAAAGGTATTCTGACTAGATAAAATCTTTTGTTGTTTTTTTCATTGTCATTGATAAAACAGGGCAATATAGTAAAATAACTTTCTACCACATTAATGTTTAAAGTATAGTACATTTGGCGTGAATTGTATCATGCCCCATATTTAAAGAAGCAGGCTACTGCTCCTTAAAGAATTGTTTAAATCTATTCAAAGACATCAATAAAGTCTATCCTTTGGGATATTTCCAAGCTCTGAAGCCTGTCCATCATTTTTTATCCATTTTGAACACACATTATAAGGAACACACTTATATTTGGAATTTCAGTGTTTTAGAGAAAGCATCTTTATGTAACCCACCTATGTATGGAAAATTTATGAATTGTTTTGAATTAATGCCCTTTGTATATCTGCCCCCTGTGGCTTGTGTTAGAACTGTTTATAGAACTTCTTGGAACAGCAGGAAAAAGCCAATATGAAGAAATAATTGCTGATGTTAAGCAATTCTCCCTCTGTGTAGAATGTTTTTTAATTGCAGAGCATTTGAGAGTCTTGGTTACTATATTGTGTAGCATATTATTTCTTGGATAACAGTGACTCAGTAAGGAGTTGAGTGTTTGGTAAGCGGTGGTTTGTGCCAGGTGCTGGAGACCAAGGGAATGGTATGTGAGTGGAGCTGGGCTGCTTTAAGATGCACTCAGAGAACTCAGTTTTCTCTTACTTCCCTGGCATGTGGGTACCAGGAAGCCAGGATCATGGAGCCCACGTGCTTGCTTGGAGCATGGCCTTGCACATAGAAGGCACTACTGTGAACTGGATGCATGTTCTTTGGGGATCTCTGATTTACACTAATTTACATTCCTTATGAAAGGGGGCACACTTAAAGTAGGTGCTCTCCTTATGGGCCCATGCACTCAGTGGAACTTTGGGGATCCAAAGCTGCCAGCCTACAGCGGAAGTATAGATTTGGAGCTGCAGTGCAGTGACTGCTAATTGACCAACAGCTGAAAGTCCTCAGTAGAGCTCCAGCCGGGCTCCTTTGTGCGCTTCCCCTCTTCCCACAGCAGCCTCGCCAGGCTTGCTCAGCCTGGCTGCCTCCATGTTCGCTCAGTTGCTGGTTCTGCTGATTCTTTCGTTTTTATTTTTTGTTCCCTACTGTCATTGCTGACCTGGTTTCAGGGCCTGTAGACTGTAGCTCCATCAGAGCAATACCAGGCTCCTCATTCCTGACAATTCTATGGAACCAGATACCTCAAATACTAATCTAACAGTTCTCAGGAACTGCCCATCCCCTGGGGATCCCTATGCTCCTCCAGACCTGCCACTTCCTGACTGTCCTTGACCTCCCTTGCATGTGTATTCCCAGCTTTCCTACCTTACCTTGTGGAATACATATGCAGAAATTCAAACAGTGAGTGGCTGTTTCTTCACTGAACTTTATTTTAGTACAGATTTGGGCCACTGGTACAGACTTCTTACCCATCTCCTCCTGACTGAGGGCTCCCTTATTCCACACCTCACCTCTTTACAGTCCTTTTTGCACATTATTTTCTAGTTTTGAAAATTTTATCTTCTATTGGATAAGCACAAAATTCTATATCTGTTCCCATATTCTGCCTCCTGTAAAAACATTTGCTGAAGAAAATTAGCCATGAATCTCAAAACACTCTACCTTCATTGGCTTCTGTTGCCACTGGCTTCTCTCACCTTGTTTAACCCCTGTAAGATGCCAGTAGAGATAATCCTCCTCCAGCCCTGGCTGCATATCGCTCACCTCGAAGATACTCTGTGGATCCTGCCCTCTGTTTGTCATGATGAGAGACAAGCACTAGAACTCAGATGTTGAACAGTTTTGGACAGCTCTGTATTTCACATGGCAAAATTATATGGGGGACTGTAGTAGAAAAAATAGGATCCAGAGCAAAGATGAATCAGATACTAAATGGGTACCTGTTGTGTGTCCAGGTGTTTGCCCAGGGCTGCTCAGTTAGGAACCAGCACACTGCTGAGTCCTGCAACCTGGCCTTTTGTAGTCTTTATGTTCACTTCTTCTTGCCTCTTAGATTATGGGGAGACCCATAATACACATATATACATAAAACACAACAAATTAGTTCATGCTGTTTGATACAAATGTAAGAGGTAAACTAACTTTCTAGTTGTCATGTGAAAGAATAAAAATAAGTAAAATTAATGTAAATAATAGGTCTATTTAACCCACCATATGAACTACTATCATTTCAATCAATATTTAATCAGTATAAAAATATGAAGAAGATAAGTATGCATTCCTTTCTCATACTCTGTGAACTCCAGTGTATATTTTATACTTAGAGTACACTTTTGCCTGGATGTACCATATTTCAAGTGGTTAACATATGGC